GAGAAGGGTGTGTGGTGGGGCCCCCCCCCCCGGGGGGGGGGGGGGGGATTTCTCGCTTTCCATCTCTCTCGAGAGCACACACACCCTATAGCAAAAACAAACAAACAAACAAACAAAAGAAAACAAACAAAAAATGTGTTCTCCAAAAAAAAAAAATGTGTTTGAAAAGACTAGCACACTTTGGGAATGTCTCCTAAAAGGACTGCTGGAATCCTGTCCACGAGTGGTCCAGTCTCTGAATCCTTGTCTGCTCTTGATAATGGCTGTGACCTGTGACTCCACTGAGAGCTCTGTACAACCTGAAAGACGCAGGGCTCTCTCTGTGTAAGCAGTGCAGGACGCACCCTGTCACTGGGATCTACCTACTGCATGTCCCCAGTAGGCTTTCTGGCCCTCCCTGAAAGGATGTGGCAGATTCAGATTCACTGCTGTCACTACTAACCCCTGCTCCTATAGCTAGTGAGTCAGTGCAAGCTCTACCCGAGACACAGTCTTTCCTTTTCATATCATAGATCCACAGAGTCTCTGAGTAGAGTGAAAGCTAGCCCAGGAACCCAGAACAGAGGCACCACTGTGTCTCTTGACCTGTATGTACCTTTTCTATTGTGCAATCTAGGAATGTTCTAGTAGAACTCTTTATACTTACATAGCTTGGAGTCATTTTCTTTTCTGGGCTTGAATTTTCTCCTCTTGACTAATATTTGGATCTAATTTCTTTGGGACTATATTCTGACACCAAGCCTATTATCAACGGCTCCAAGCTTTTGATCATGGAAAGTCCATGAAGCTTGGGCTCGGCACCATCACCTCAGCTGTGAGAAATGAAGGAATGGGCAGGGCTCAAGCACACACTTTCCTCAGTCAGCTACTGCTTCTAAAGCACACAATGGATATCACTTTTTAACCCATTATGTATCTACCTGATATTACTGTTCCCCCTAAATCTCCTCTAGTGGGAATCACAGGAGACACTTGGTCGCAGTGTGTAACACTCTAAATCCACTGTGCTCCTCACTCCCCCGATCTCCGGATGCACAATGACCAGAGCAAAAAGAGAAAGGCTTTGGGTAGAAGAAAAAAGACCACAGCCTGGAAGTTTACGGACACAGATGAAGCAGCAAGATGGACCCGAATCCTGTAGCCACTATTTCTCAGCTGCAGGCAGACCTGAAGCCTGTTTAGATGAGCTTTTGTTTTATCATCTCCACCTTCTGGAAGGCTGGAAACCTCGACGTAACACAAAGTGAAAGGGCTTTGTGAAGAGTCAGTTCTGAATAGCTAAAAGGAATTCTTCTTCTAATTATATCCCATTAAAAACAGCCGTCAGTTAAAATAAATACAGTAAGTAAGATGCTAATAAATGTAGAGAGAACATTCTCCCACTGCTAGCCATGGGCTTACCTTAGTTTCAAAGCCCACTCTATAGAGAGTTGTCCTCTTCAGGGAAGGAACTTGCTTCTGTTTACACAACCCTCCTCTTCTTTGTGCCCTCCCTCCTGCCTTCCCCTCCAGGCTCACAGGCAGCCTGACTCCCCAGCCCACCTGAGAAGAAGCCCCTCATTACCTCTCCTTCCTCGTGCGAGCCCAGAGCATCTTTTCCGATCCTCTGCTTATCAGATCTCCTCGTAGTTTGCTTTCGAAGGCTTGCCACCAGCTCTGGTGTTTTCTGAAGGCAAGAAGGGGGTCTTATATTTCCAAGAAGAATAGAATCTGCAGGTGATTAGTGATACTAACGAGGCCTTCCTACTGGGCCCTATCCCTCCTCGTGACCTTTGGCTGACACCAGGAACCTCAAGAAGTTTTTACCTTTTGTTCTTTCACTCACTTAACGCCCACGAATCATGCACCTACTCAGGCTTGGTTAGATGCAATCTTTGCCCTTGAGAAGCCCCAACTCCCCACAGCCCTCCTCACACTGCGGCCTACTTCATTTGCCCTCAGCAGTGCTTCCTACCTCTTTGAGTCAGGGACCCCCTTTACTTCTCTGATAGGAAGACATTGCCCTTTTCTCAAGAAAAACAATGTCCATACAATCACACAATTTTAGCAGGCTCCCCAGGGCCTAGAAGTCCATCCCTGGCCTCTGACAGGGCCTGGCTGAGGACAGCGACACTTGGTGTAGTCATGACTTTCCTTGCAGCCTCAATCCTCATGTACTGTATTCTCAAATGACACTGCTAGCTCCTCCCTAAACCAACCTTGCTTCACATCCCAGCTTCCTGCCTTTCTTAATAAAGAGCCTTTACTGACTAACTTCACTCTTGGACTGCAATCTTAATGGAAGGCATCTATGCAAAGTTATAAATAAGTAAGAGAAAAATGTACCCAAACTGAACATCCAGCAACAGAGTAATAGTTACATACAGTACCCCTTTGTGAAATATTGGGCAGCTGTTAAAAATGATATAAAAATAATATCTGTGGGGGACCAGCTGATGGCATAATGGTTACATTGCTGGACTTCCACATAGTCCAGTGCAGTTCAAGTCCCAGACCCAGAGACTTAAAACTCATGCTGTGTGTATGTGTTTGTGTGTGTGTGTGTGTATGCATGAATGTCCAAGATTCTGAGAGGAATATGGAGGAGAAGGGATTGCTGTGTGGTCATCCCCCGGGGGGTGATGTCTCACTTTCTGTCTCTCTGTCTCTCTTTGTCTCTCTGGTGAGTGCACGTGCCCTATAACAAAAATCTCTCTAAAAAGAAATAATACCTGTGGGGCTGGACAATGGTGCTATGGTAAGACATGATGCTCTGCAGGGGTGCTCCAAATGAGAAGGTTCCTGGCATTTCCAGAGACCTCCCCCAGCATGCCAGGAACTCACATGCCCGTGATCTGGGGTTGGCTGAGGCTGAATGAAGCAGAATTAAAGTCACCTATAGCTCTGTTTGGACAGGTTAAGCACATGCCTCTTAGACCCACTAATGGGTCATGACATCATGACATAAAGACCCTATTAGGTGTGCGTGCTCTCTCTCTCTCTTTTATTCATGGAAGAAATAAAGTTTTAAAAGTATAAACTGATGAATATATTATAGTAGGAAATATTAGCTAACTAATGGGGTAAGAAATGTGTAAGATGCTTTAACATAGATAAGAGTTGAAAGATAAGCAAGATTGCTTCTGCTATATGGTTCTGAAAAGCAGAATGTAAGGCTGGTTGTACATGCTATGCGTTCACTACATACTCACACATAAATATATATACTCATGACATACCACAGACACATAAATGCTCATAAACACACAAGTGCTCACATGCTTGAACACCTACGCATTAACACATGCCGCACAGATGCTCATACATACACATACAATATACACACTCACAAAACAGAGAGAAACACATTCTGGAGGAAGAAATGTAACCAAATGCTAACAGCTATTTCCTAAGTGGTAAAAACATGGATATTTCTTTTTCTAAATTTTTCCTCTTAATGCATGTTTTTACATTTCTTTAATGGTCATATATGATGCATTTATGGCCCCAGGTAAGCTTATTTTCCTAAGATTCTACTTAAAAAACAAAATTGATGATGAAATTAGAAAGTATAAACACACCAACCACTGATTTGATAGCTAAGGTAGCTGGATTCTGCAGGCTAACTGGATGGTTCAAGTCCCAGATCTGGAGGCTTGAAAAACACACCAGGCATATGTGAGTGCATGCCCAAAATCCCAAAAGGAGGCAGAAATGGAGGAGAATAGATTGCAGCCTGACCATGCCCCACAAGGGGTAATTTCTCACTTTCCTTCTCTCTCTGTCTCTGTCTGGTGAGTGCATGCAACCTCTAGCAAAAAAGGAATACTCAGTGTATCATGACCTAAGAATAATTCATGGAGAAGAATTCATGGGGAATCCTAGTGGTTAAGGCACTGGACTCCCACATGACTGACCATGGTTTGAGTCCTGGAGTAAGTGGCTTGAAAACCACGTCACGTGCATGTGCATGCATGACCAAAATCCCAAGAAGAGAATGAAAGAGAAGGGGTTGCTGTGTAGCCATTCTCCTGGGGACGGATTTCTCACTTTCCTTCTCTCTGTCTCTGTTTCTCTCTGGCAAGTGCATACACCCTATGGCAAAAGCCTGGGGAAACAAAAAGTATTCATGCTGACCCTTCTGAATGGTGAAGTGCCAGATGGGGAAAGCAGGTGGGTCCCTCCATTGGTTCCCCCCACTGGTTCCCTCCATTGGGTCCCTCCATTGGTTCCCTATTTGAATCATGCTCCTTGTTTGCCAAAGGCAGCTTCTGCACATCACTCACCTCCTCCTGCCTGGGTCAGTCTGCTCCCCGCTGCCCTCATTCTCTACAGTGTGGTCCGAATGTCTGTCACTGACTGATCCCAGCAGGGCCAGTAGCTGGGGCTGGGAGGCTGTAGGCAGCAAGACACTGAGGAGCCGGCGCAGCGTGGCCCCAGGTGCCATCGTCATCTTTGAGAGGTAAGATGCCAATCTCAGCTCCTGGAGGAGATAGCAGAGGGAGCTAAAATCCTCATCCCGCTCAACTTGACAAACAAGACTTTTTAATTGATTATGTTTTTTATGACTTTTTGTCCCAGGGTGATAAATATTTTAGCAGCATAGTCTGGAAAGCATGTACCTGATTCACAGAGCTGTCAAAAAAATCAACTTGGTCAGCAACCTTGGCTTCCCACGACACTGCTAAAGGCTCCATCCATCTTGACAACTACTCTCAACTCAGTTGGGCACTGCCCAAACCACCGCAGAAAAAGCCTGGCCTGCATCGGGACAATTAGCAATCTTTCTCCTTTTCTTGCTCATCTTCTGTGAGGCCATACATCATTAGAGGAACAATGCAGGCTCTGGAAACAACTGAAGTGTCCCTAAACAAATGTCTGATTAAAGACATCGTGTGGCATCCATATCAATGGAATACCACAGGGGACTTAGCAGGTGGCATGGTGATTAAGGTGCTGGATACTCCCACATGGCTGACCATGGTTTGAGTTCCAGACCTGGTGGCTTGCTTTATCTCTCTCTCTCTGTTTCTCTGTCTTTCTCAAATTAAAAAAAAAAAATGGAATATCACTGTGCAACAAAAAGAAGGAACTCAATAGATATCTAGGACGTTATTCTGGGTGGAAACAGCCAGTCTCCAAAGGTCACGTGGTATACGACTTTATGCACTTCACATTCCAAGATCGGCAAAGTTCAGAGATGAAGAGTGGACTCGAGTGCCAGAGGCTGGGGATGCTGAACACAGGTGACTGTAAGGGGGCAGCACAGGAGGGACATTTGTGGTGTGGACAGTTCTGTATCTTGATTGCAGTGGTGGATGCATGAATCCACAGGTGCTAATTTAGCATAGAACTAGACATACATTTTATATCAGTGTCCACTTCCTGGTTTTGAGGTTGTACTAGAGCAACCATTAAGGGAAACTGAACATGAGGTGGGCATCAGAATTCCTTATACTAGCTCTGCAACTTCCTGTGAATCCAAAATGATTGCAAAATAAAAAGTTAAAGTAAAATAAGAAAAAGAAGCTTAGACTCAGCATTCAGAAAACTTGCATTAAACCCACTGTATGGAACTTTGAGTCCCTGGGCTGTGTCCTCATTTCTCTCTATGTACCAGTTTCCTTGTCTGTAAAATGAAAGAAATAATACCTAGGGCAAAGGGTTTTGTGAACACGAAATGAGCTGGGGCATGTCAAACTGTTCTGTGCTGCAAAGACACAAAGAATTCGCACTTTAGGAGCAGAGATGGTGTGCTGGGCCACCGGGCACATCAGAGACCTTCTCTGGGATTTTACCTGGCAGAAGCCAGCAGTCAGAAGTATTTTATCTGGCAAAACCTGGGCAGCGGGATGTGGAAAGCTATCCGCCCAGGCTGCCAGCAACAGCATGTCATACTCTGTATGGAGAAAGCCTTAGTGACAGAGAAACAGAAGAATGAGATGGAGGAAGAGAAGGCCCAGATAGAGTCCATTGGCCATCTACTCTTTTAGAGCTAGCCTTACTCTTTTGGGGCTTGGGCAGGGATCAGCGTGTTTCCTTTACACTCAAACTAGTTTAAGTTGAATTTCTATTCTCTTCATCTAAAAAGAATTTTGACTTTACAAACCACCTAAGTGCAGTGCTTGACAAACAGTGAGAGCTCATTGTCAATAGAGCTGGCTGCTGCCATGGTGGTATTTGTATGCTTCCCGAATGCATTAGTGTCTTGCTGCTGTAACAAATCACTACAAATCATGGCTTAACACAGCACGACCATATTACCTATGGTTCTGTGGGTCAGGGTCCTGTGTACCACAGTCTGTGCCTGCGGCCAGCTGTGGCCCATTCTGCTGGACACCTAAACACATCCCTGGTCTCTATTTCCCACTCCCGAGTATTTCACTTCCAGCCTCTTCACAGGCAGCCAGCAGGGCCCAGGGCCAGTCTCCTAAGGACATGAGTACAATCTGCTTTAGGGACTTAGGGGCCTTTGTCTTCTTAAGGAATAAAGGCACTTAGGTTGACTTCATGTCTTAGTTATTGTGAATAATGCTGCAATGAACATGGATGTGCAAATGCCCCTCTGACAAAGTGTTTTCCTATCCTTTGGGTAGAAACTTAACAGTGGGCTTACTGGATCACAGAGTAGTTCTAATGCTAAGTGAAGTGAGCCAAATACTGCACATGTGCACTCAGCATACACCAAATGCCCACACTTTACGGCAGGAACTGAAGGACTCGATAGTATAGAAATAGTGTCGGCAGTTACCAGAAGCTGCAAGGGCGTTAGGAGGACAGGGAGAAATAATGAACACAAGAACACATGTAAACCCCTCAGCCAGGGGCTTCTGCCCCTGCGCAGCTGCGCGCCGGGAACGGCTTCCGCCCCTGCGCAGCCGCACGCGGGGAGCAGCCGGCCCCCGTCCGGAGGCCCGGCCTCCCTGGCCTCTCCGGCGCTGGATGGCTCGGAGGCCGAAAACAAGGTTGAAGAACTTGCAACTTGAGAAGATGACAGTTACCAGCCCTGCATTACCTCAGGGGAAAACAAGAACTACTCTGCCATTCTTAAGAAAGCCAGATACCCAAGGACAACTCACACTGCAGATCCCCACAACACCATTCCTGGTAACTACAAGATGACTGCTGTGCCGCATCAGCTGATAATCATCCCTG